CACTAGCAATCACCAACGTGTTAACACGCCTGTTCGTAACGCACGGGCTACCCGACTCCATTGTCTCCGATAATGGCCCACAGTTCGCATCGACTGAGTTCAGCCGTTTCGCGGCCAACCTGGGTATCCGCCACATTTTCACAGCCCCATTTCATCCTGCCAGTAATGGATTGGCTGAAAGGGCCGTCAGGACCACTAAAGAAGCCCTGGCAAGGTTCAACAAGGATGACTGGCACCACAAACTCTCGCGGTTCCTGATGAGCCAGCACTCAACTCCTTGTTCAGTCACCAATAAGTCCCCAGCTGAGCTCCTGATGGGCAGGCGTCTGAGGACTGTATTGGACAGACTACACCCTCAGTACTGCCCTGACTCTCCCCTCGCTTCCACATCGGGGGTTAGACATTTTATCTTACAGGAGCCAGTTTTCGCGAGGAACTTCGCTGGAGACCCCCTGTGGATCACGGGCGAGATCGTAGCCATCACCGGGCCGCGGTCCTATCGGGTCAGACTGGAGGATGGCCGCGTCTGGAGAAGGCACATAGACCAACTGCGTAGACGCCTCAGCACCAGCGCCAGCAGGGACCCAGAGGCACAAGACGAGGGGAGGCTTCATCCTCAGCCTCACATCCACATCACGCCCGGCGATCAGTTCACACCTACAGCCGGTTCCGAAAGCCCGAACGCAGACAGCGGCGCCCAGACAGTTGACCAGCCCAATCCAGTCTACAGGAGCACACCCCCAGTGATCAACCCTACGAGCCCCGGGCAGGCCCAAACCGAGGGGCACACTGGGGACACTTTGCCGACTCTGCCTTCCCAGGCAGACCCCGGACGGACAGACGATGTTCCAGAGCTACGCCGTTCCGGGCACCAACATAAACCTCCTGCCTACCTCAAAGACTATGCATGCTCGCATCTGGGGAGAAGGGGTGTTATGTCCTGAGAACTCTAGGAGTTCTCACTCAGGTCCACTCACTTTGTGTGGGCGTTCTTCCCCCTTTCCTCATTGGTTGGTTCTCCCCAGCAGCCAGCTATAAAAGCAGGCTGCGGGGTCCAACCAGTCGCTGATTGCTGCGAGCCAGTTCCAGGCGTGGCAAGCACGGTCAGCCCTTTATTGTATAATAAAGTATTGTTGCACTCATGCTCTGGTCCAGCCTCTCATTGCTCAAAGTTGGATGCGGGGATATTCATGATACTGTTCATGGCTGATAAGGTTAATGGCTTTTCCCCCAAGTAAGAATGCAAATTACTAAAATATCTGCTTATTTGGCAGAAGGAATTGCCAATTAATATTGCATCCTTCCCTTAGAAGTGTCATTATTTTGCTAAAATTCATACTCTTAACACACTGAAAAAATGCTGGAACAGTTTTATTGAAAAAAGTGATTCTTAGATCTTTGGCCTTCTAGCCTTGACCAAAATACAGACAGTCCTTGCTTACTGAAAACACTGAAAAGGAGACATATGCACCAGTCCTTAAAGTTGCAGCTGTTGTAGTGACGCTACAATCACATGATTACAATTTGGGTGTTTGGCAATTGGTGCATGTGAAGGCAAATATACGTGTCCCCAGATAATGTTGCAGGAACCAAGCAGGGTAGGTCACCGGGACAAGAGGTTTTGTCTTTTGAGCTTTTGGACTCTGGTCCCAGTGACCGACCCAGATTGGTTCCTGGAATTGATGCATAATGTATAAAGGTTGTAGCATGCCACAGTCATGTAAGTATCATTTGCAATCTTCATAGTTTGCTTCTGAGATGTCAACACTAAAACCAATAGGAAGTTATGACCACATATCACACTTAACGGCCTGTAATGATTTGCTTAATAACTGCAGCAGGAACTGAAGAAATGACACCATAAATTAGGCACATCATGTGACTTCATTTTATGACTGATGCTTAATGACAGTTGCTTGTTCTCATGGGATTACCCATATTGGGGCATTGGCAAAATGGAGCCAATTAGGGTAAACAGGAAGGGGGGGGAACAAATAGGGTAACATGCTGAGGCATATTCAAAACAACACTCAGATCCATCAGGCAAATGGATCAAGATTATTTTAAGCAGCTTAACATCAGGTGTGGCCACTACATAACACAGGTAGCCCTTGACTTAACTGTTTAGAGACTAAAGTTACAATAGAACTAAAGAAATGACTTATGACTGGTTTTGCAGCATCCCCATGGTCACATAAATATTCAGGCAACTGGCATGTATTTATAACAGTTACACTGTCCCAAGGTCATGGGATCACCATTTGTAACCTTTCCAGTTGGCTTTTTACAAGCAAAGTCAATGGGGGAAGCCAGATTTGCTTAACCACCAAATAGTTAACTTATACTTAACAACGATAGTTGTTTGCTTAACAACTGTGCAAAAAGGTTGTAAATGGGACAAAACTCACTTAACCTTGCTTAGCAATGGAAATTTTGGGCTCAGTAGTGATAATAAGTCAAGGACTACCTGTATAGTATCCATTCTGATTTAAGGCAAATAATGTTTAAAGTCCTAAATATCTAAATTGACCTGATTGATAGGTTTCTTAAAGCCATTTTATAAATCTATTGATTAACATGATCTTATCAAAACAATTTCTATAGATGCTAATATATGCAATTCTATCTTTTGTTATTTTGGATTATTTTTTCTCATTGGTTGCTAGAGTTACTGTTGCCAAATGCTGAAACTATAGATAAATTGATAAAATTTACCAAACCTAATGAAAATGCTGATTTTCTTAAGATTAACACCTACCCCTTAGAATTTGAAAATAACCAAAAACACTTTCACCTTTTAAAAAAGCTTTTAGAAAGGACCCAGGATATAGGTCAGTCAGCTTTAATAATTGTTCTGGATAAAATAGTAAAAGTATTATGAAACATACAATTGGATAATAAAGAAACAAGTGTTTTGAAAAGAAACTAACATGGCGTCAAGGTAAGTCTTCATACCTGCTGTTCTGCAAAGACTTAAGTAATTTGTTGTGAAAGTCAATCTCCAATTAAAAGTCACATTGAATAGAGAAGCAAGGAAGTAGATAATCATGGCTACAAGGTAAGCTGATACAAAGTTAAAACTCTAGTGAATCAGTTTATATAGTTTATAAACTATAAAATAAGTCCAAGGATCCAAAAATTTAAGAAAAACTAGATATTTGACAGAATATTAGAACTGTTAGTAGCATCAAAACTGATGTATTTGATTCCTTTCAGATTCCTTGCTCTAATGTCTCTTTCTAAAGAAAAAATGGGGATCATCTTTGCTGTTCTTTTCAAATTCCTTCCAAGTTTTAGGATTTGGCATCATCATTACCAGACTGGCTGACAGTATTGCAGGATTGTATTAATTAGAAGTATGTACTATCATCTGAGATCAAGTCTGCTTTCCCAAAACACATTGGTCATCTGCCATCTTCTGAGAAAACAATGGCATTAGCCATCTAATACTTGCCTTTCTCAAGAATAAATGTTTGCCATTGTTGGAGCAGTCTTCTCCTTAGCCTAAACAAAAACATAAAATAATAAGCAAGAACTAACTGCACACTGGTAACTGAAATTGTTTAGTGCAAACGACAAAATAATGTTTTCTATGATAGAAAAAAAGATATATTCTGTAATTCTGTATTCAATGCTTTGTCTAGATGCTGGCTATTTCAGATAGTTGCATGTTGATTATTAATAAAGTATAGTGTATATTAATTATCTTGGCTTTTGTTAAAGCCTTGAGGAAAAATACAGTATATTAGCCATACTAAAGAATCATTTTCTCTTTACAAAGATATAAAGTATTAAAATTTACCATAGTACTTCCAAAGTAGGATTCCCTTACCAATTCTTATAACCTGCTTCTGTGAGGATTTCCAATTTGTGTAAACATTTTATAGTCAGCATTAGTAGCATAATGGTGAGAGAACTGAGTGAACATAAACCCAAATCTGTATTTTGAGCAACAAGAAGTAATAACAAGGCTTTCAAATTTAAAACTGCTAAAGTGGAGCAAAATAAAACAGGTGAAGGCTAGTTTTGGATTTCCTTTTTTTAATCAGTATTCCTTCAGGTAGTCTTTAACTTACGACCACAACTGAACCCAAAATGTATGATGTTAAAGTGAAATTTGATTTTTGCCCCATTTTACAACCTTTCTTGCCACAATTGTGAAGTGAATCACTGTAGTTGTTAAGTTAGTAAAAGGGTTGTTACATGAATCTGGCTTCCCCATTGACTTTGCACGTCACAGGGTGATCACTTGATTCTTGGACACTGCAACTGTCATAAATATGAACCAGTTGCCAAGCATCTGATTTTTGATCATGTGACCAAGGAGATGCTAGACAATTGTGTGAAAAATGGACATGTCACTTTTTTTCAGTGCAGTTGTAACTTTGAATGGTCACTAAATGCATTATTGTTTAGTGGAGGACCTGTACTTTTTTCCTGAAACATGTTGTATATTATAATCAAAAAAATTTTCAGGCAGTTGTTTCAGTTTACCATGTATTAAAAGCTATGCCATCAGAAATAATTACCACAAAAATTAACAATTGAAGTATATAATCTTTCTTGAAAAATAGTTTGATAAAGTTAAAATCTGATCACCATTCTGCCTAATAAAAGTCTAAAAATTAAAATGTTTAAAAAGGTGGGGAACTGTTATTTTATGGAATGGACAGAATTTTGTTTCATAATTGAGAAAATGAGTACTCATTATGACACATAGAACATTCCAAAGACTTGAAATAAGATTACTTAATCTAGAAAGTACTGTGTAGTGTAATGTAATGCAAATATTTTATAACAAACTAAAATGAATAAAATATATCACAGAATTAAATGTCTCCTATCTCTACCAATATGACTAGAGAATCTTTGATTTGCGACTTTTATTTTTGTTTCTTTTAAATATCTTTTTAAGAAGTTTGTGATAAAATACATTGATAATACTGTAGATCGTTAACTTCTGTGGATGCACGATAGGAAAAGCAGGACAAGAGGTATCTTCTTGTGAAGAAAAAGCTTTTATTTAGGACATCACACTGGAGGGGAGCTGCGATGATAAAGTCCACTTAAGTCTTATCGATCCCCTGCCAAACTGAATGCCATCATAAGTATAAAACAGCATATTCATATATTCCGGTTGTAGAACCAAAACAAACTCCTAGCAACAAACTTCAACGCGAATTGTAATTACAAATATAATTACAACGTATCTTCTCCCGTTCCCCCCAAAATAGTAATATTTTGTTGGTCCTTTCATTCGTCAGTCGAACGCAGGCCGCGTTATTTCGAGCTGGGCGGCTCCCAAGCTTAACGTCACCTTCAACCAACTGCGTGTAGTAAGTCTGTTGCTTCCCGAAATGGCGAGCCTGCCGTATTGAGGAGTTGCAGAGCAGAGCGGAGAGGGCGCCCTGGCTGTGAGTAGAGCTGGCTGCGAAGTGGGGAATGAGGCGTCCGTGGACCTAGGTCCTAGGCGTTTGCTGGAGCTCATGGAGAAGAGAAGCGATCTATCTTCTCGAGGCGCCTGGGCAACAAAAATCCGGGCTAACTCCGTCTCCGCTTCAGGAGATTCGTTGCGCACACGTCTCTGCCTGAAAAGGAAAGAGGCGCTTGACCTTAGGATGCCAGTTTCCCCGGAGTAAGCGCCGCCGCATGCAATAAGGGTGTTGTCCCAAGCGAGCACTGCTTAGAAGGTTGCGTTTAGACTAGCCCTTTGCGCTTTGGCTGAGCGCAAAGGGATGAACGCGGGGAGTTTACTCCTGAGTAAAGTTCATTACGTTCGCTGCCTTTGAGAAGCGGCGGAAAAGAGACGGCCTTATTATCCATGCGTTTTAAACAAAAGCTTATGGCAGTGTAAGTCCGTAGTGGCGGAGAGGGAAGCTTTGTCGCCAAGGAGAAGCTCCGCGATTCTCGTCCTTATACGAACGCGCAGGGCGTTTGTGTTACGGAAATGCTAGGCGTATAGTCTGATTTAGTTGGAAGAGAGAAGAATGCAGGGCCCAACGTCTTCGTTTCGGTTTAAGCTGAAGGTCCGTTTCGCTGCCGGTTCTCCTTCCCGACGGCCGAGGGGAGCGTTTTTTCATTTTTTTTATTATGGATCTGCGTAACAGTTCATTCAGAAATTACTTAATACATTTAATAAACTATATTCATTGATTGTAAGCGCCAATGTAAGATTATAAAAGGAAAACAAAACTTGTTTTGGCAGAGCTTTGCTGGTGACTTTACCGACAACCTCCAGGAAGTTTTCTTGGCCATAATACAGGAGATGTTTGTGGGATTTTTATTTATTTGAAAGCTCTGGGATTTCTGGTGCTCTCTGATCAGAATATGAAGTCAGATCCTCCTGAGTTTTTTCAAAAGAGGACAAAATAAGGACAGATGGATTCCTTTAATTTTAGTTTTCTTTTTTTGTCACAAAAGATTTTAAATAGAACTGCACGAGACACTAATTATTCTAAATATAGATTGGAGTAGGATTGTTTCCTCTGCTTTTGATGGTATCCTTCATTAAATTACTATGATTAAAAGAATAGCTTTCACTTTAACAACAAGGTGTTTTTGGCAGTATTTGAGGGGAAATCCTAATTATTTGGAGCTCTAGTCTGGACTTTCCTTAACTAACCATCAGACTGATATCTGAAGCCTTCTATTTTAGCCATTGTTATGTTCCATCATGTCTTTGTGACTCTTAAGAAGGAAGTAGTCCTTTCTATTTACTAATATTTGTGAATTTCCTCAAGAAAACCTCTTAAAATGTGTAATGTTCAGTGATAAATTCAAGGAGGATTTCTCAAATTCTGAAAATCTATAATCCTTTTAAATGATAACGTGAAATTGTATTACAATACACACCCCTTCTGATTAGATTGAAGCATTGAAGCAATGAACATGAATTTGGGTAAACTGAGAGATAGTGGAGGAGAAGGGGGCATGGCATACTAGAGTCCATAACATACAAAAAGTCAGATGGGGCTTATTGATTGAGCACCTCACCCTCTCATTATCAGGCCTTAGTTGTGCAAGAAATAAATGTACACCTTTAATCTTTACGTCAAACAAAAAAGTGATAGAACCACATAGCGTTAGAAAATAAAACCTTATTGGAAATTAAAAAATTGACGAAAATTTGAAGGAAAAGTTTAAAACACATTTTAGTGGAAGGATGAACTACTGTTTCTTTCAGTAGTCAGATGGGAAGTAAAAGGTATTTCTTTGCCTTAAGTCAATTTCTCTTGAAATACTATAGCTTGCAAAATCTTTTTTTTTTTTTGCATGATTACTTTTTCTGCTTTTGATGATCTCTTCCCAATAATCTCAATCCTTTACTTCCTATTTGTAATTCTATCTGCAGAGTGAAGATCAGAGTTAAATTTTTGTGCTCTCCAACCTTGATTGCTCCCTTTGAAAAGAAAAGTAGCATACAAAAACAAAAAAGGCTTCTTAGTTTGCATTAAACTGGTAAGCCTGCTCATAGAAAGCAGCCTCCTGGCAGCTCTTCCCACCCTTTGTGTTCTGACCACCCACTTTGATATAACCTAATTTACAATGCAGGAAATACATAACATTTTGTGTGAAAATGGAAAATCTGAAAATGGAAAGTCAATCTTTTCTTTCCAGAACCACCTTACTTCAATAGAGAAACAACCACAGCTAGATTGTAAAAGTATATATTTTAAGATGAATATAAATGTACTGTATTAAGATGAATCAAGGGAAAATAATAATCTTGACTATTGTAAAAGCATAGGCCCCAAGTGTTTTCTGGATCCTGAACTAAAAAGTAGTTTTATTCCCTCTTTCTGTTGCAGTACACAGAACTGAGGCCTTTTTCCAGGGGAGGGTAGACAGAATCATACTTTCAATAGAATCTTAGGGAAATCCGCCAGTTTGTAAAAGTTCAGTCATTTTTTAGAAAGGAAACTGAAAATACTGAAAGGCATACAGTATAAAATTTGCTTAGTAACAGCATAACATTGACTAATGGGGGGGGGGAGATATGACATGTACATGGTTTGAAATTAGTCACCAATTATACTTTACTGTATATCTTACTGCTAATTCAATTTGCAAATGCTGAAATAGTAAGCTTATTTTTTATTTATTTAAGTCTCTATGAAAGGTTAAAAATATACACAGAACTGATTGCACAATATGGAGACCACAATTTTCAAGCCTCAGCCCCATGCACTCTTTATCTTCTTTCTGGTTGGCTGCTTTACACATGATTCCTGGTTTCATCCAATTTAAGAATATGGAACAGGCCTAATCCAAAGAATTTGCTTACTTATCTGTGGCTGTAATGTAATTTGCTTGGTTTTGATTTACAAGTGGATTGTGTTAACTCACCCATAATGGTTTGTAAAAAATAAAGTGAGCATCAAAAGTTAAAATACAGAACATGGTTGGATGTAGGATATGGTAGTATGCACAAGCTATAAGATTTTTTTTAATGCAGTATGTCATGTGAATAGGTCCAGTGATTATTTCTAAATTGTGATTTACTGTGTAAAGCACAACTGGCTGAATTTACAGAACACAGTCAAAATCATATTATGACTGGGTAGTGTGCAAATCTGGCAGATAGAAGGCAGCTTTTGTCATGTGTGCTTAAAACTCATTGAAGATTTATTTGTGTATCTAGTTGCAGTCTAAATGGGCCTGGAAATGTTTCCACACAGCATGCATATTTTCTGAATCTTTCTAGCGTATTTCATTCATTATTAGAAATATCTTGTTATTTAGAAGAATGCAGATTTTGTAGCTAATCCTTGGCTTGCAAAACTGAAAGGCTGTAACTGCCCTTATCTGGTAGGCTTGCAATTCCTGGAATGTTAAGGATGTGATTTGTCCTTCATTCCTTCAGTCCCTCCTCAATACAAACAGGAATTTTCTGTGTAGCTGTGGGGGGGAGCTGACCTAGTTTTCTGTTCCCTCCCTTTTATGTATGTTCTTGATTTCACAGGGACTCATTTCACTCTTGAAAACTAAACTACACTTGAAAACTAAATCTGAACTATACACAGTGATTGTGAGTTATGAAAAAAAAAACTTAGTCTCTGGGTATAAATCAGTCTTAAATTTATAGGAATAATAGGCTTTTGGTAATTGGTGAATATTTGTAGTATTTTCAGTATCAGATTGCAGATGTTTCGATGTTTAAATCCTGGCGGTGTAAATTCTATGCACTTTTACTCTAAAGTTATTACTATAGATTTGTTTTCATGTTTAGAAGCATGGAATTGCAGCTTTGGTATCTTTGTTAATGTTTTTCAAATGTTGATCCTGAATCTTTTCCTATAAAAATATGCTTCCTCTCTTCCAAGCTCTAATAGTGCTATGAATGTATGTACATATGTCAGTTTATTATTGATTATGACAATTAGACATCTTAATCATGAGATTTTTAGTCTTGCCTTAGGTATGAAAGCTAGCTGGGTGACTTGGGGCCAGTTACTCAAAATCTATGCTGATACAAGGAAAAAAAGTTAATTTTTATATAATAAACCTCCCTCTACATAACAGCAGAAAGGGAATCAGTTATAAGCAGGGGCACTTACAATACTTTAAACTTTTCCATGAGACAGACATGAATATGTATATGCGTTTTTTAGGGATCTCCACACACAAACACACACACACACACACACACACACACACACACACACAACGCATACTTTTTTTTTTAAATGAGGCATCAGGGTATCTGGATTGGTTAACAATTCTTTTTTGATCACTGGAAAAACTGAGTATTGCACAGAATTTTTGCATGTAAATCATTTTTTCTGACCTGTGAAGTTTTATTTATTTATTTATTTATTTATTTTGTCAAGCAATTATAAGATAATTAAAAGAAACAACAGGACAGGGATGGTAGGCACGTTGGTGCGCTTATGCACGCCCCCTGCAGACCTCTTAGACTTAAAACTCATAGTCGTTTTCCATTAAATATAGTAATATAAACACTGTGAATATTTTAAATGCTCTGTAAATATTCTAAATGGAGCATGATACAAAACCTACTGTTAGAATTTGAAGTTAGGAACAGAGGAAGCTGCTGTATAAGAACTAAGTCAGCCCATCCTATTCAGTAATGTTCACAATGTTAGTTCCCCAGGACTTCAAGTGACAGTTTTTCCAGTTCTCTGTGGAAATGCCCAAAGATTGTTCAGATATCCTGTTTGTATGCAAAACACGTGTTTTCCTGAAGAGTTAAATCTCTTTTTCATAAAGCATAATTTTACTGAAAGAGACATTTTATGGACATCAATGGCATATTGTGATTTCCCATTTTCATTCTGTACCTTTTGCTTAATTTCAGTTTCAGTTCCTCTGGGCATTCTAAGTGGTGTGATAGTGAGAAGTTTTTTGAAAACTGGATATTCCGTTTTGATTCATCCTCAGCATTATTTAATTTGAAAAGGTTCATTCTGTTCCCAACCTGAGCAAATGAACAAATGTAGCAGCAGATGAGATGGCAGAAGGAATGCCATCAGTGAACTTAATCATTGTGTGTGATTAAAATGATTTGGGTTTCTCTAGGTCTTCTCTTCTTGTCAATGGTCTTTTGATATATATATGTATAAAGCATAAATTGAAGCCTGGATACTGAAGATCAACAAGCAAGGCAGACTCTGCATTAAGTAGCAAGCCTCATGACGTGGCTTTTCTTGTTTAAAACATACACAGAGAACTGTAAAGGGATAGTGGCCTGTGATGACATTTTGCAGTATGCCAGCATCCCTCCTTTACCAGCTTGAACAGGAACTGGATACAGATGAAAAGGAAACCATGCTCTTCTTGTGCAGCGATCTCATGCCTGACGTACCTATGTCTGATGTCCTACAACTCTTGACAACTTTGAATGAAAAGGAGATGCTGTCCACCATCAGCTTATCTGAACTATTATACAGGCTGAAAAGATTTGACTTGTTAAGGAAGTTCCTGGGGACTGGAAGAGCAGCTGTGGAAGCCAATTTAGCCAAGCATTCTCAGATGTTGTCAAAATACAGGTGAGCTAAGCTGAAGAGCATTCTGGGCTTTTGAAAAACCTACACCTCTATATTGGACAGTTTATTTCCACTGGTTTCTGTTTCTAAGAATTGCTTCTCTTGAAAATGTTCTGTTGTATGATAACACCAGAATTGTAAAATTCTGTGAGATCTTAATTCTATTTCCATAAACTGAAAAATGATTTTGGGAGAATAGTGATCCAGTATTAGGTTATAAATAATGTTAGTGATCCATAAATTATCAACTTTGATGGGTGGTTATAGAAATTTAATATAAATCTTTTAAAATAAAAAAATAAATATACCATTCATGCAGCTTGATCATTCAGGCCACCATAGGTATGAGAAATCACAGTTATTTACACTAATTATTTGTTCAAGGGATCGAGTAAACAACTGAAACCCAAACCAAAGTTAACTTGTATGGTAAACATTTTATACAGGGGTGGGATGCAACCGGTGCTACTACTGCTTTGGTGATTATGTTTTACACGCTGCGCACGCACGTAATACACCTAAAGCTGTGCTGCCCGGACAGCTGATAAGTGCTGCGCGCGGGTGCGCAGCGTTTGAAAAACCATTTTTTTCCTGCTTTTTCAACCTCAGCTGTGCCATGCAAAGTAGCTGAGGTTGAAAAAGCAGGAAATAAAGGTCAGGTAAGAGCACGGGTAGGTGGGCCACACAAAGCAGCAGACACAGAACTACCGGTTCTCTAGAGCTGGGCAGAACTAGTAGCATCCCACCCCTGATTTTATAATGAAATATAAAATTGCTCTGATATCCTTTATTTTTTATTTTATTTTTTACCACAACTAATGCAAGGACTGTTTTCATCTTAAGAATTTTCAACAATCCTACATGAGATGCAGGGCAAATTACAGCCCATTGCAGGCATTGGAGCATCCCAAATAAGTCAGAACTAGCATTTTATGAGAGCTTTGGTCTCAATCTGGAAGGCTGTAGAATGGGGAATCTGTCCTAGTGTAAAAACCTGAAATTCAGGTAATAAGCCATCGGTATGTCAGAAGAGTCATCAAAATCTGTAGAGTTGGAATTTAGCAGGATATCCAAAATATCCCTGTCTTCATTCATATTCATACATGAATTGAGTTTTAGCAATGAATATATTTATGGTGTACAAAGGTTGTGTAAAAGAAAAATTGATATATTATTGTTATGGGAAGCTGCTGTGCACTGTTAGATTACTAGCCCAATTAATTCAATATTGCCCACACCAATATTATTCTCCGTGGACGGCAGAACACAAAGTGAACTGCATACCTCACTATTCTGTGTAGGACTGATAAGAATTATAGTCCAAAATAACCATAATAGCTTTCAAATATCAATTTGTTCCTGAATACCTTTTCCTGATTTTATTAAGCCATGTTCTCTATTTTTACTCTTGGTATTTTTTTGTTTGGGTGGGGTTCTTCTTATTCATTTGGTCTTGCTCCAGGGGTGGGATCTGACCGGTGTAACTACCGGTTCAGTGATTTGCACGCATGTGTGAAACATCGTCAGCTTGCTGTCTGGACAGCTGAGCAGCGCTGTGCGCAGCATTTGAAAAAGCCCTAATTTTCCTGCCTTCTCAACCAGAGCTGTGCTGCGCAAAGCAGCTAAGGTTGAAAAACCATGAAATAAAGGTCAGGTAAGAGCCCGGGCGGGCAGGTGGGCCAAAACAGCAGCAGACATAGAACCAGTTCTATGTCAGCTGCTCTTCAGCGCTACCGGTTCTACAGGGCCGGACAGAACCAGTAGAATCCCACCCGTCTTGCTCTTAACTATTAATACTTGTTGGTTGAAAAATACATATGTGGTTAAAATATAGTTTAAGAAAGGAATATTGTATAATAATATGTAACACACACAGCCCCTAGGTAGGAGAGCAAAGCCTTTCTAAAATTAATTTACTTTTAAATTGATTACAAATTGGGTTTGTGTGCAGGGTGTTGATGACTGAAATCAATGAAGATCTGGAAAAAGAAGACTTGAGGTCTCTCTCTTTCCTTCTGAAAAATCATCTTGGTACATCGCACAAGGAGAAGGTAAACTTAACATGAGCATGATAGTAATTCATCACAGTTCTCTGTGTGTTTACAGTGAATGAACACAGAGAAAGGAACAAGGATGTCCTGGTTTTTATCTGTTGGCTCTGCCTCCTTCCCATATGCAGGTGTAACAGGGCACCATGCACGATGCAGCTATGATGTATGCTTTATAAATCAAACTTTGGAAAGATTGTGCTAAATCAAAAGTGGGATAGAAAGCAGTAAACTTAATGGGATAGAAAGCTGGTTTCTGTTATAATTAGGCCACTTCAAATTATAAATGAAAGAATGAATAAATAGCTCCTCAGCATAATAGGTACAGTATAATAGCATTTTCTCTTTCTCTTCCATAAAGTCCACTTAACAGTACAGTTGTTCCTGCATTAAGATACTGAGAATATTGATTTCTATCTAGGTGGTCAGTGATAATAAAATACTGAAACTGCAAGCAAGTTCATTTGGGAATTACCAGTGCTACTAATGACTTCCAGTTGTCTTTATTGTCACTTGGGTTTTTTTTGTCTTTATTGTCACTTCACTACATGAAGCAGAATTTTAGCTGGTAGATTAATTTAATCCAGAACTGTTTTTATTTCATTTTACTTGATACTGACAACTGCTCAGCAGTCCCTTTCACCAATTGTATGTTTCTTAGAATGATTTGTAATAAAAGTATAATTCCATTCTGGGCCCTCCAGGTGATTTGGAATTTCTGTCATCCTAACTATGAGCCAATCTGGTATCGTGCTCTAAAATATATAGAGAGGTACTGGGATGTGTTGGAGTGAAACATCCTGGTTCCAGCTTGCTCATTGAAATGAATTTACTCTGCTGCTAGTTTCAAGTTCAAGCTACTGTGTTGTGTAATCCCTTCCTCATTAGTAAAACTGGAAATTCCAAAAACTCCCTTGCAGGATTAGTATAGGGTAAAGTTTGTAAAGTAATATATTGACCTAAGTAGGGGAGACAGATACTGTACTATCAATCTTTCTATATTCCATGAATGTTTAATATATAACTATCATTTATCATGAGGGTGTTGGTTTCTCCTTTACAATTATTGTCTGATTTTTCTAGAGTTTTCTGGCAATTATTACTGACCTGGAAAAGCTGGACCTGATATCTCCCATGCATCTGGATTTAATAGAAAATTGCTTCCTGACCATTCACAGGAGAGACTTGGCAAAAAAGATTCAAAAGTACAAACTAGAAGGTAAGATTTGCTCTGTCTTGCCATTCAGCTTTAGAGGCTAATTCTCATAGTTTGCTGTCTTCACTGACAGACAGTTCTGCATTACCTACCTACCGTAGTTGGAGGAATCTCTGGGACTACTTGGATGAAAATTGTACCAAACTCAGTGAGGCTTATTGATATGTAAACATACATAGGAATGCTGCTAATAGTAAGTATCTAAACAAGTTGTTGAGTCCAGAAATGTGGAAACAATACAAAACTATAATTTCATCTTCTCATCAACCCATTTAAGTCTTAGCTGAAAATGGTAATATTAGCAGTACAATAATATATAAAAAATTTATTTCTCGCGTAATGAGAATTTGGGAAGGGAGAATGCAGGAATGAACTTGTTCCTTGGGATTTTGGTTACCTATATGAACAATCCTCCAGACATCAAGTAGAGCTTAGAGCTTTCTGTTCTAATATTCTGTGCCTTGGTTTTTCCCTCATTCTAAATCTTGAGCGTCTACAAACATATGGAACATGTACTACCCATCCTTCCAAGCATCGGCCTTTATAGTTTAGCAGGTAATGAGGATATGTTAGAAGATCTCTCTGCTTCTCCTCACATACATGAGCAGCAATCAGTGTCTATACAGGGCTATTAGCTTACCATGCAGAGCAGTGAAATAGTGGATAGCTTTGATCACAATACTTGAACAATGTTGTGTATCTATTCTTACTCCTTTCCTATTTTTTAAGAGGCTGAAAATTTTGTAAAGAGTAAGTTTATGATTGCCAAATAAATTAAAAGAAGGAAAAAAAGAAACTAGCACCATGGGCTTTGTGCTTTTCTTAATGAAATTATTAAGAAATAGCCATTTTGGTCTAGACTGAGAGCCAGTTTGGTTTGTGGATAAGGCGCTAGGTTAGAAAGCAAGGGCTCTGAGTTCAAGTCCTGCCTTAGGCATGAAAGCCAACTGGGTGACCTAGGGCTAGTCACTCCCTCTCAGCTCAACTCACTTCATAGGGTTGTTGTGGGAAAAATAGGAAGAGGAAGATATGTTAAATATGTTTACTTTCTTGAGTTATTTGTAAAAATAAAGGCAGGATCTTTCCACACATGGAGGGGAAATAGCATTCTTCTTCAGGCATTCTTCTCTAGGCATTACTTTTGCTCTGTCTATCTAACAATTCACATGGTTGCTTAAAATACTGCAACTAGGAGAGCCAGGATTTCTGTTACTGAATGAAGCAGTCATGTGAGTGACTCACTTGATGCTCAACAACCAAGATTCTGATCCAGTTGTGGTTGTAAATCAATGTCTACCTGTATTACTTCTATTTTTCATCTACTTACAGGCTATTAAATGCATTGATTAATGCCATCAAAATGTTGACTCTTAGCACCACATAGATTTAACAACTCCCATAATTCAAATATCAAGAACTTTTTCTGATAAATACTAGAAATATAAACATTCTTTGATGCAAATGGTAGGATTTCCTTCTTAGGGTAGTGTAGTGATGGGATTTTAAATAAAACTACATGCAGCATGTAGAGGTAGAAGAGACTTGAGCAGAACAGTTGTTTTACAAAATAACCACTGTTGATGTAATTTCTGAGATCTCTTCCATTTTCAGTTCCAGTGTGCTTTCCAACTATGAATACAAACACGCTTCAGATGTCCTTACCTAAGTTATCCCTAGCTGACCCTCCAGAGGTAAGTGCATTATAAGATTATAGACAAATTGCAACCTTAACCACTGAAAAGAAGGAGTTTATTGCATGGGATTGATCATTTTCTAATATCAGCTGTGACCTTAATGAGTTGGCCTAAAAGCTGTGCTTTCTTGTTTTCAGCATCAAAGGACTTGTGTTGATGAAATTAGTAGGGAACTCTCTTCCCCCTTTGTATCTTTTTGTATAGTGTATTAGAGATGTTTTAAACAAACAATTTTAAAAAGGGGGACAGGATTTAAGCCAAATTAAAATTAGTTCCATCATTATCTTTGTTTCCCAGAAAGTTTTTTGATACAATGTTTTGTTTTGAAATTTGCCCATTTGACCAGGAGAAACGAGGAGGTGGAAAACCTGCTCAGTGGCGAGTTAAGGAGCATTTCAAGTTGTTTTGTTAAATGGCTAATTTGAAAAGGCCTTTACCTGCTAGGACAGCTATTTTAATAAGGATACTTTCCCTTTCCCAATAGTAACCATTTTGGGAGATTAAGTGATCTCCCAAAATTCCAGAATTTTGTATCTGGAGCTCTCAGAATTCCATATATACCCACTGGACTTGAAAGATGGAGGATTCAGGCCATCCTTTGGGATGCACAGACACCCTTCCATTCTTAGCTGCCTCTCCAAAGCCCACTTCTTGCCATGCTGAAAACAAAAACTCTTTAAGAAGAGTGACCAGGACAGATGTCAGAATGCCCCAGAGTAGCATTTTCTTCCTTTTCAGATTGTATTTGTGATGCACTTTTAGTTACCATAGTAAAAAAAAAAAGCCATTGCAAGATGGGCAGCTATATAAATCGGTGCAATTGATAAATCAACCAATCGTCTAAAAACTGCAGTGATGAGATTAAATTGGTGAGTTTGACTCATACCAAATCCCCAAAACTTTTGATCAATATACTCCAGTGTACTATTTTTTTAAAATGTATATAACCTATTTCTACACCCCCATAAAGGATCATAACAAATGTATCTGAAATGCTGTATGAACCCAGCACCTTATCCCCATGGAGAGTATGTGGGTTTACCTCCTCTCCACCAGCCATTCACTGAGTCAGTAACTAGTTCTGTGCTGCTTGATTTTCCTTTTCAGCTAATGACAATTTTGTGTGTTTTTTGTTTTTCCCTAAAAGAGGATGGGTAGAAACTATGCTATAGAAGCACCTTCTTCATGGAGGAAAGCTTAACTGGGATAAAAAGAGAGGGTTGGAATTATCAGTGAATAGAACCATAAGAATGAGGATCACAAATTCAGAGCAGTCGGACTCGGTCTGTCCTAGCCTAATGGGAGGATGCAAAATGTTTGCAGAAACAGATTCTTGTTTCTGAGTTATTTTTCCTCAGTCAGAAACCCTGCTATGTGCTGCATAGCGTGTGCTTCAAGTGCAGGCCAGATAATATCTCCGTTACAAAAGAGCAAGCAGATATGTATGAACTGTATCTTCCTGGGCAAAACATGCCGTAGGATAAGGAATAAAAAATGATCTGCCAGATTAGAGGACGGTCTAGTCAGTCTAGCCTTATATTTCTTACCTGATTGGTCAAATATTTCAATCAGCTTATGGTGGCTGTACAAAACTGATGCTAAGAAATACTATATGGTAGCTGTGAAAAAGACTGTTCCATTAGTTCTTAGAGCAGGGTGTCAAACTGGCGGCCCGCAGGCTGGATACATCACATTCAGGCCACGCTCACCTCAGCTCTACGAAGGCAAAAAAGGTTGCGATACGTGATGTTATGTGACACTATCGAGTTTGAGAGATATTAGCCATTGATTGATTTACTCTGAATGGATTTGTGTAATCATATTTAAAAGCCAAAATTATTATTAAGCAGTTTGTATTTTAGATCTTTTTTCCTAATTACCTGTCTAGAATATGCTTTTTCTGCTATCACAACCAGGCAAATATAAAAGTGTTCCACCAGAAACAAAAAGTGATTTGATATTTAATTTTTACAGCCTGTGAACAAGGAAAGAATGAATGGAGCCTGTGCTGTCCAGGGTAAGCCCTGTTATATTTTTATAGCCATTCCATCCCTGGCTACTTGGGAATAATACATCTTGCATTTTGTGTTTTTTGAATATTTGTAAAAAAACAAAACCTTAATTAAGTATTTGAACTGTTTTTTTTTTTCTAAACCCAACTCTACTCACTGCCTATCTTTTTTGGATAAATTGTTACTATCCCGTTACAATCCCCAGTTACCCCATCAGAGTACCCTTTTCTAGTATATGCTCAATATAGTTTAAAAATCTCATTTAAGAGACATAGATCATGAACTCCCTTTCAGTCACTGGTGCCTTCCTGGGTGTTTTATTTTCATCTGACAATGATAGAGTTGGCAAGATAGTTTGGCTAGTTAAAATGTTGTGATCCTAAAGCTTTGCAACCTACTGTCCTTTAAATGTGTGAACTTTGATTCCTGTTCCTATTTAGCATGGCCAATAGATACCGGTATGAAAGGCATTATGCAGACTAACGGTTTGGAGAGGATTGTTAACTTTATATAAACTTGCATGAGTTTTCACTAGGTTTCATATTCTGAAGAATGTAGGCAGAATGCAACTAACGGGCATTTTTATTATATCTACAGCAGAACAGATTCACATATCCATTCCAGAAACAGAAGTACAGGTATTGTGCAAAATTATGATAAGCAGTACACATCTTTTTGTTTAGTATGGAAGCATTTTAGGAATTAAAAGAGTGATATAGCATTAGGAAATAACTGGATGCATTTTCAGTTTCTGCCTTATTTGGTCTGTTAAAAGTTGTTGGTCTGTTAAAAGTTGTATTTCCCTTGCCTTTTTAAACAATGGAATGCATTGCAACATGTTCCCCACTATGGAGAGGGAAAGTGAAAACAAACTGGAATGCAAAATAGAATACAGTCAGTAGCAGTAAACACCGAAAAACATGAAAGCTAATTATAAGAAATCCAGCCTCCTTAAATCCCTTTATACTGGCTTCTGCAATTGGCTTCTTGTTTGCATGACAATTTATTTTTATACTAGTCTGTGAGTATTTGGTGGCTGGAGTCCAATCTATAACTTTTCATTCCAAGTTTGCATACACTTCATACTGTACTTGGGTGTTGCCCGTGGACTTCCCAAATTATTCATAGTGAGAAAATTTCTGACTCAGATCACTCTGAATTGAATTGACATCTGGGGAAGAAAAAGTCAACCCTTCCTCATATTGAGGGGGCAAAGGTTAGAGAAAACTGTCCTGGGACAGATTATTGGAGAAAAATTCTGCAATTCTGAGCTGTCCCATCAACAGGAAAGTTCCTTCCTTGACAATTTTCTTGTTGTTCTGGAGACTCTTCCAAATTTCCAGCACAAATTTAAAAAAAAATAATTGGGAGAATTAGTGAAATTTCTTCCTGTTTTTATGTGTCAGGATCCCCATGGGCAGAATACTGCTTATAGAGTCAAAGATTGATAATCTCGTGTGTGTATTCCTAGATATGTATTTAGACACACATAAAAGTATGTGTCTTTGTACATGTAACATGTCTTGGTACTGTATTGATCAGTATAGAATTGAGCCCAGGTAGAGTTACACAAAGGAAGCAGTCAGCACAGAACACCTTGGTTCAAGGCAAAATGTTAGAATTGTGTTGTGCTTCAAATGCAAAGGCAGAAAATTGTTTTTTGCTGAATGTGAACAATGTGTAAATAGCTACCTGCAACTTCTTGATGGCTATTGCATCTTTTCTCAGTGTGCTCACTACAGCTGGTATAATTCTGGAAACATCTTTATTTGGTTTCAAGTTTGGCAAACACACACTACACGTGCCCCTTGTCTTTTTTGCCTTTGAATTTGAAGTACTGCATAGCTCTCCAGAATGTAATGCTTCTCCCAAGGCCCATGTTTTAGAAAGGGCTCTGAGAAGCCATTATTCCTTGCTGTTTTCTGCCACACAAAGGCAAAACTAATTAGATGATACAAAATAGTCAGGAAGTGCTGTGCTGATGATTTAGAGTAAGAGGCTTCATTCATGATGTTATTTTTGCAGGGTTGTAACAAGTACAGAATGCAAAGCAAACCTTTAGGAGTCTGCCTGATTATTGACTGCATTGGCAATGATGCAGGTAAGTGCAATGGAAATCAAGTTGCTCCTTCCTGCCAGAATTGCTACACTACATTCGTTTGGTCACTTCGGTATGCGTAATTTGTCACAACAGCATAATGTCTAAAAATAAATAGTAGGGTGTGCAAAATATACTTTTCTGGGAAATATGGGAACATTTGGCTTTCCTTCTAAGTCTTGATCCCCTGCTGCTGATAGACAGCTACCAGTCTCATTGGTATCAAATTGATATGGAGGAATTATGTAGTCTTGCCCTTTCTTCTGGATATTTAACCTTTGGGAAATGTTGAGAAAGCCAAATCTATCTTTAAAAGCGAAATACCACTCACGCAGCATCACGAAATCTCCAGAACTGTAAAGCCTTACAAACTTGAAATTTGGCATGTATGGTCCTCTTGGCTACTAGGTGCTTGCTAAGAAACCATGTTTTGAAATGACCATCGGATCATTAATATTTCTTAATACAGTAATTAACACGCTCTGATGCTAAGGAGTTCTACTCCCCCTCCCCACCTGAAAAGAAGTCTGTTCCAACTGTCAGTTGCCTCACAGTCCGTTACCTTAGTAACGGAAGATAGATAGATAGATAGATAGATAGATAGATAGATAGATAGATAGATAG